AAGACGATCTTGAAAGTTTGTTTTATATTTAAACGAAGATTTAAAAGGCTATTTATATTAACTTTCGTGGTTTAATTTAGTTACAATTTCATAGGCATCAATATAATTCACTGAAAAAGATACTCAAGACATTCAAGAAAGATTTAAATTACGAATTAATATATGGAGTGTGTTTTTAAACAATAGTGTAGATAAGGATGATATTGTTTAATAGTATAAATCAAATAATATAATATAGTAATATGTAGTTAGTAAATACAATATTAATTAAGTAAAATAAAATTTTTATTTAAAATATTTAATAAGAGATAAAGCTTTGTTAATAGCTTCACTGATAATAATAAAATATAAATTATTTGTTTGTATATAAGTTCTTGATTAATTTGATTGGTTGATGCTCATATGCCATGAAATCTGGAACTTTCTGATCAACATCATTATACCATAAAAGAAGCAATCTTCAATGTCTATTTTTGGAATATTCCCAGACTGTACTAACCATTACTGCAGTTAGGCACATTACCAAAAATGGGGTCGTTTAAAGCCATGTGCGGCATGTGATATAGAGCCAATAAAATTGCTTGTTTTGATCGACACAGATCAGCTCGATGAAGAAAAAAAAGTGAAAAATGGCAAAAATACAAGAAATGAGTGTCTAAACCTATCTTGGGGCATTAATAAAAAATGTCGGGAATGCAATTTTACTATAAGATCTATCCTTACCTTAACCCTACACCAACCCCTTACCTAACTTTAACTAAAAAATCAAAAACATATGACCGCACATGGCTTTAAACATCCTCCAAAAATGGCAATCAATTCTAGATCGTTCCATTTAATTTTGATTGGCTTACAGCCACATTTTTCGATTACATTTTGTGGTTTTTTGCCATATATGTTTGCGACAAAAAATTTTATAAACGAAAAGCAAAACGTTCATAGTTTAGTGATCCGTTGTGATCTTTTCTAGATCTACACTTTGAGCAAAAGTGTATAAGGCCCGAAAAAAGTTTATGTTTTACTATTCAAAATTTACAATTTGATTAGCTTATTAACATATAACTCAGCTTCTGAGATATAACTCAGCTTTTGATTTGTGTAATCGAATGAAAAAGAATTGCCCGATCTGCGTTTCTATACTATAAAAGGGGCGATCTACATTGCCCATTTTTGGTAATGTGCCCGACTGTACTGCATCAAAAACGTTACCCTAACTGCATCAAAAAAGTTATTCTAACGCACCTTGCTTTAAACGACCCCTTTTTTGATCCCTAAATTTTTCATATAATCGTAAATTTAAAGTACATTTTTAGATGTATCAAAAAAGCAGATGTTGGTGTATCAAAATCCAAGTTTTGCTTACAACGCTTTGCAAATAGGTGTTACCCCGTGATTTTTGTGATAATGATAGAAAGATCCCGAATTGTCTACTTATTTTGAATCTGTAAATTCTCGTAAATTCTCAGAATTTACAGATTCCGAATCATATATGCTGATTTGATGTCGTCTAATAGTTCCTTCATATGGTTGGTGCCGTCATTTGCTGATAAATCCTCCACTGGTGTCGTCGTCATTTACAGGTGCTTTTTTTTTGTTTTCAGGCTATTTTTGCAGTAGGATAATGTCCAGCATTGTATGTTTAATCAACGTCCTTAGACAATTCGGAATCTTGCTATCACTAGGAACTGGAAACCAGTGTAAGTCCGGAGCGTAAAATATTAAGATTATATTAAAAACTAATTAAAAAAATGATAAATTGAAAATTTGGATATTTTTTCTAGTTCGTAGTTGTATATACAATAGTAATGGTCTGTATTATTGGTAAACATCATACGTATATATAGTATTATATATTCGACCAATCAGCATTCATAAAAGCGGACGGACAGACAAATTCACGTGATCTCGATGATCACACGCTGTCGTAAAAACAGAGTGTCCTCCGCTTCGCTCCGGACAATTATCACAAAAACCACGGGGTAACACCTATTTGCAAAGCGTTATAAGCTTTTTTGATACATCTAAAATGTACTTTAAATTTACGCTTATATGAAAAATTTAGGGATCAAAAAAGTAGATTATAACGCCGATCTTGATTTTCACACGCGTTGATCAGTAGCTCTCTATATATATTTGGATTTTTTTTCCCACCATCGTTCACTATCGTTGTTTTCGTTAACTATACCATGTATTTTTCCGTTATCTATAGTTGGTAACAGAAAGTATTACTAACCCACAGAAATATGGAAAGCTTTGCTTTTTTTTGTAGGGTTCTGGCCGCGGGAGTAATATGGTGGCTGGGCTTAGGTTACGACCGGCCCAGTAGAACCGGAATGGTAAGACGAAGATAAAGTAGTGTTACCGCGCTCCCAAGGCTGGAACGACATATTTTTTTAGGATAGTTTTTTTTTTTTTCTACATCTACAAAGCTTTCCAGGTTTTTGTTATAATAGTTTCTGTTCTGCCTATAGTTAACGTCGACATGTATTTTTTTATTTTATTTCCCCTCTCGCTATACCGTACCGAACTCTAGGTATGAGTTTTTCCTGAGTGAGTATATATTATTCATTCACGCGTACGTCCACTCTTGGACACAACTCCGGGTTGTTATAAACCCAGTCATGGGGTACACCTCTATGCGGTGGCTGGGACAAGTAAGTTAAAATTTGTTTTAATTTTAGCCGAAACCAAGTATCCCAAACAATTAAATAATTTTAGATGTATTAATTTCGAAATTTTATTTAATGTTTTAAAATTGTATAAATTTGTATAACTAAAATTTATTAATAAAATTAATAAAAATCTTTTAATAAAATTAATAAAAATCCAAAGTTTTTAAAATCGACAATGAATTTTAAAGTGTTTAAAGTGTTTTACTGTAAATTATATATGTATATATTGATACATTTGCTAACATACATTTGATTCGATTCGATCTGTTGCAATATGATTTTAGTTTAATTCTATCATCGTCATCAATTCTGGATCTTCAATTTCATAGAACCATTTATCAGTCTCGATATAAATTTTGTCAGCTTTAAGTTATTTCGTTTGATTTAAATATATTAAATAATCATTTTTTCTTAATCCTGATGTCGTATCACCTCAACACTTATACTGCTCTCTAAATTCGTATAATTCTACGTATATCTTTTACTATTATGCATTTTAAAAATTCACTAACGTTTTTGCGATTATAATCCCCCGATCACTATATCAAGATCACGGGAGGGTTAATTACTGTAATGTTAGGGTTGGGATTTAGAATAAGGTTAAAGTTAAGTAGATAGTAAAATCACTCAAGGAAAACTTTTTGTCAAAGCACTAAAGGTGCTTGTTATGCAAATTCCTCTAATCTGATACGATCTACGTCACTAACCTAGCCCAGAATTTTTTAATGCCCGACGAGTCACCCGACTAAAGATTTTTTGGACGTCCTAAAAATTTTAAGCTTACTTTTGAATGCCCTAGATTTCTAAAATATATTCTAAATTTCAAGAATAAAATACAGTATTGCCTAAAATTCAGGTTTTTTGATTTTTGAATGTGATTAATATAAAGCGACAATTTTTTGGAGGTAGTCCGAAAAATCATAAAGTCCTAAAATGCCCTTTTTGCCAACCATACACCCGACAGATCGCACGATAGGTCACCTGGGTTAATTAAAAAACTTTGAAGTGGTCTAATTCTTTCTAAGTAGAAGTTTGTCTAATTAGCTAGTATAAATCAATTGCCCAGATAATTAATTTATACGTTTTAAAGTACTTTTTTAAAAACGTAACATTGCACAAATAAACAATTGCTTAAACATCGTTTTTAGCTTCAAGAGTGCTAAAAGTTAACTTTAAAAATAAGGTCTAATAAGTTCTTATTTAAGAATGATTGCTTAGTAACAAATTTTTGATATATCGATATAAACAATGTTTTTTCCGACACCTTAAGTAGCGAATTCAGTGATTTAATTGGATGATATTCACGTTTAGATCTGAAAATCCAGTCATTACGAACAATGTATACAGTTAAAAAGATTAGAATTGTGATTATAAGGGTTTTTTATACCCAACATTAGTTAAATTGCAGAAGTTTTGAAGATAATTACTTAAATATTTAGATTATTGTATCCAAAAAAACAATATTGGCTCTATCTCTATATAAAAAATTTTTGTATTTTTTGTTATTTATAATAATATTTAAAATAAATTATTAATATTATTGTCTTTACCCTATTTATTTCTTTACAAAAAGATCTTAAAATTGTTTATAATTGTAATTGTGAAGTTACTATAATGGCTAAGCTTCAAACTATTGATGTATTAGGATTTGTCTTTCCAAATTAACTTGAGGTTAAAGTAACATTACCAAACAGGTAATATAATATTAAAGATTAAATAATATACAAAATATTTTATAACTCACCACAATTATATAGTATCTTTCTAATAGAATCAATAAAAAATATAAAACCAAAGTTACAATTACTAATGTGTAGCTTTGATATCCCTTAAGTTCAAAACATCGCTAATAACAGATTTTGAATATTGTTCGTAAAATAGTCTTGGGTTTCTAATTAAAAGTTTTCAGCACTTAATTTTGCATATATATATATACGTTCTCTAATCCTAATCCTAATCCTAATACTAGCTCAAACCCTAACCCTAACTAATAATAATTTTAATTTTTTTTAACCTGCGATATCACAACCTAAATTTTTGGGCTCCGATCAACTCATTTCACCGAATGCTCATTTAGCCGACATCACATGGGGTTAGGTTAAACACTTTATTAGTTGTAGGTATATATTTTTACTAAATTTCACCTTGCGTGATGTCGGCTAAATGAACTGATTGTCGGTGAAATAATACGGACCCAAATTTTTTATGTATATACAAATTTTTTTAATTAAAACAAATCAAATCATTTTATTAAAATAATAATAATATTACATTAAGTCAAATGACTCAAAGATTCTGTGCGTTTTAGTGATTCAATTCCAACTAAATTTATATGATTTTGTCTAATTTTTGGTTGGATTCAAATGATTTTGAATATTTTTTTGATCTTTCGTCAGTATTTTTATCTGGTACGGCATCCGGGGGTATATCTATGTGCCCCACCCGATTTGGCGTACACTTGTTTCTGCGTATGCGATATAGAATGTCAAAACAAATAGTAAGTGACGCACTTTATAGTTTAGTCAAATACACTAATTCATAAATTCGCATTTTATTATCAAAAAAAAAAAAACACCTACAACATAAAAGTACAGAATATACATGAAACTACAAACTTATACTAATTACACAGATAAATAAAAAAATCGATAATATATGATATATTATAGTAAATAGATAAGCAATTACGCCAATCTAAAATCAAATTCAATGGGATAATGATCCGAGACACGTTTTGCAGCTTTTTTGACCAAATCTGGATCCTTCTTGACTTTATTTGCCCAACCATCATCGAATCTCCATACGCGGGTATCTCCAATCCATTCATCCTTGTTATCCAATTCAAATACAAATCGGTCATAGGCAGCATCAGTGTCTGCAACGGTAGTATCAGTTTTATGACCAATCCCCCAAGTCAGTCCACCTTTCTCTAATAGTTCATCGAGTTCATTACGTTCTGTTTTATTGAGATAAGAGCCCGATGCATTGAAATCACCCATTAAAACTATAGGCTCACTACTTTCAGTATCAACATCTCTTGTTTTTTCATGTGTTTTGTCCTCCTTTTCAACATCAGGTCTATAACATCTAAATAAGGATCTAAAGAAACTAAATAAATTAGAACATACGCCTTTGTCTAGTTTCTCTTTTCTTTTTAGCCTAGATTGTTGAGGAATACCCCTAGTTTTTGTTTGTCCTAACTTTTTCTTTACCATAGGATATACATCAGTAATTAATGCTTTGATTTCATCGTACGCTTTTTCTGGTTGAGTATGGCAGCCAACAAGATTAATCTTCACATCAGAATGTTTCCGATGTTGAAATCGAGCGACAAAAGGATCTCGAATAAATTTATCACCCAATTTTGTATCATCATCAATTACATAGTTATCAATCACTTCCCAATCATTTTTTTTATATAAATAAAGATATCTTTCTTGATAAGAATTTCTACCTATGGGTTTAGACATAACATAATCATAAGGTGTGGATGATGTCGATATTGATTTAATAAGATTTTTAATCATTTCTTCTTTTCCTTCTGGCACGTGAACCTCTTGACAAAGGATAATATCATAATGTTTAAGAATATCAACAACAATTCTCATTACAGCTTCATTGGCAGTTTTTTTGGCACCAAACGCTTGGATATTCATCGATCCAATTATTGCATTTTTCTTATTACCCACAATTTTATTTAAGGAAGATGGTAGTGGTACTTTTTTTAAGATCTCATTTTCAGCTTTGATGATATCCTCTTTTTCGGCATCGGTAAGAGGTTCTTTCTTTTTATTTTTTTTATCTTCGTTGCCTGTCGGCTCTTGATGCTTTTTAGGTTTTTTGTTTTCTTTATCATTCGAATCTTGTTTTTTAGTTACAGCAATAGAATCGTCATTATTGTCTGCATCTTTCTTCTTTGGTCGACGACCTTTAGTTTTAGGTTGTGCGTCAATTTCTTCTTCACCCTCGGATTCATCATCAGATGGTACATAATCTTCATCTTCTAATCTCTTTTTTGACATGATTTAAAATGCTCTTTTTTTTAAAAAAAAAAAAGATTACGAATGAAAAGTAGAGACACGACCTTCTTCAATGAAGAATGTATGTGCATGTATATTATATGTTACATATCCGCCAAAATGAATCGAGTTTGTTGCACCACATATATTGTTACCATAGTTGTGTGTGTGTATACAGTTTGTAAACATTTTTTTTGAAAGAACGGAGGTAAAAATTGTTCATGTATAGTAGCGAATACCCATTTCCGAATGTTCCACATACAATTTTCGTCTATGAATACATCTTTCTTATTTTTTTTTAGTAAATGCCATTTAAAATTTCATCATATATTCACAATGATGATGGCCAAGTTTTTATGGTAGTTCTAATGAAGGAAGATAGGCGCTATTTTGTAAAAAGAGCTACATATGGTATCCTGATTCAAGTTCGTCTGGTTTTAGTAGAGATAGGCTGAGTTAAATACGTACGCCACGAAAATAACGCCCAATTTTCTCTTCTCTATTTAATATATAGAAAAATCGGATGCCACTCTATGTGACTTTGATTTAAATTATAGTCGATCAGGCTAATACTAGATCTGACTTTGGAAGGTAGCGCTAGCAGCTAAGCCTACAAATTTTAATCCTGCTGAACTGGCTACGTAAAAATTATACTATCGTTATTAGAGCAATTATTTCAACAGTATATATATCAATTGATTATAAAATAAGATGTATAAAGTTTCATAATATAAATTATATATACTTATATTTATTTATACACTTAGTTAAAAAAAATTCTTTAGTATATAATTCTATATAAATGTTTTTTATATCTTAACGTTAATACATCTCAACTTTGAAGCCTAGCTTAAATATGTATATACAGTGGTCGCAAAAAAGATCCGGAAATAGCATACATTCTATAAATCGATCCAATTTCGATAATTCTGTGCTCAAAAAACGAATGTTACAGATCGTTAAATTCGTTTAAGATTGTAGAAAATGAATCAACCGTTCTCGAAGTATAGCCATTAAATGATGCTAAACATTAAAATTAGAGTCGGAAGTCAATGGAAATAAGCAGTTGTTTTGTCAATATGATATGGATATTTCATGAACGGTTGATCCGTCTTCGATGAATTTTATTTTAAATGAATGCTGTGAATATTAGCAGCCATTTAAGTCTAAGACCAGTTATTCTTGAGGTATCGGTGCATCACCACGAATGAACTTAAAACGAACCTTGTCATTTATAGCATTCGTTTAAACCAAATCGAAGAATAATTTGGCAATTCTTAAAAAAATTTATTTTTTTGCGACCACTTTAATTGATTTATAATTGCAATTTTTCTTATTCTATAAACGTATATTGTCAAAGTCTGGCCCCAACAAGTTGCACTTATGAGAGGTTTGTTTGACTTTATTTTAAATCTCATTTTACTTAAGCATATATTTTAGAATATGTATGTCGATATATGTTGTACCCCGAATTGGAATCTGTCCCGATTCAGTCCCGGATGGAATTTTGGAATTTTGGCCCATACTAACCAAAATTAAAATAATTCTAACCTAAAATTAAACTTAAGTCTTAACGTTAATTCTGCCCAAATAATTTACAAGATTCCCATCCGGGGCAGACCGATTCTGGATCGGGGATGACTCCAATCTGGGTACAGACACAATAAACCTTTATTTCTTTAATCAACTATATATATGATATTATTACTATGCAAAGTAATCGGGGAATTACCAGGCTAAACATACCACATACAACGCAAAAATGGAATATCTATGCGAATGAAATTATGCCAATGGGATCGAACGAAATGATGCCCATCCAGCGCGTTTTTTCGAGTATGCTGTCAAATGTTTTGTTTTATTTGCACCTGTTATTAATAAGCGAGTTGTAAAATAAGCTGTACGGGCTATTCGTAAGTTTAATTGAAAATTTTAATTTTTTTAGACATGGCTATTTTATCGCGTATTTACACGTACCCGTATTTCGCGAAATAACGCGCAGGGTGTAATTTCGAAGTTTGACCTAAATTAAGCTTAATTCGAATAACTTGCATGTTGCGTTGTTCTGCGAAAATACGGCAATAACCTCATGAACATTAGTGGACTGGGCCAACACAAACCAACCCATTAACAACCCTACTTTAAACCTTTGAAACAAATTATTGAACATTATATAAATAATCAAACAAATGGGTCAGTACACAGCAAAAGGGGGCTTCGGGACGAATTTTTTATTTGTAGATATCAATATTTAATCAATTAAAATTTTAAATATAATATATAGATAAAAAAATACTGCGTATAAAATTGTACAAAATTTTATTATGCTAATGCGTGCTAAAAAATTTACTGTGAATAAATCACATATTTAGAAATATAATCCGATAAAAATCTCGACCTTGATCAAAATGTCTCTAAACCTCGTTTTGCTCTGTACTGACCCAAATAAAAATATATAATGGATTGTTCAAAATACAATCAATGTCTAGCTATTTTACAAAAACCTATCAAGAAATTTTCTAAAATATGAGCAAAGTTGGGCAAAATTTTTTGCAAAAATCCCGAAACATTCTGAAATAAGTTTATATGATATAATTAAACGGGCATTTAAATTGAAATTTAGAGGGTACAAGACTTAAAATGACAAAGTTTGAGGTCTTAAAGCGGACAAAAGTTTATTAACTCAATTCATACCTCTATTAGTATTATCCAGGGTCCTGTTTAATCAGATAAACATAATCATGAAATTCAAGTTTGTTATACGTATTGAAGGTTTTTTGTTCATATAACACTAAAAAACGTCTGTATATTAAATTTAAGACCAGGTAACCTTGTAAAGATTTGAATTCTCAACCTCGATAGGCTAAAAATAGACAAGTATTGTTTTGTAATGTTATCCAAATTGCGACTCGTACCAGGTGCGATTCAAATTTGACTGATAACTTTTCCACAATTCCAATAGGTAAAATTCATCTCTTTATGAATGCACGTTTCCGACAAAACTTAACAAACCCTCTTCACAAATATTACCAATAAAGTATCTAATCAAGAAACTAATTAAAATACAAGAAGCAATGGTTGTTATTAATAATAATAAAAAATTTTCGAAAGAACCGATACAATAAATATAGATGTAAAATTGAATATATTGTAAAAAAAAAACTAATAAAATTGCTTCTTTTTTTAAAAAAATAATTTATATCGATAAAAATTATACGTTATTTTACAATTTTGAAGCTACGTACGTACCAAAAAAACAGTATCTGGTATATGAAGATCAACAATGTTAATATACGTATGCTTTTTTGCATAAATTTTTACGTACGTACGTATGCTTTTTGCCATAAATTTTTACGTATGCTTTTTTGCATAAATTTTTGTTGTTTTTTTATTATGCTTTTTGTGTAATCGTGAATTGACGAAATTTGAACGGTCTTAATTATATAAAAAAATTTTTAATTAAACCATAAATACATATAAATGACATTTTAAAAAAACATATAATAAATGAATACTGGAAAGGTTTTACCCCAGAATCCTAATGGCCAAAATCCTGAGCCAAAATCCTGACACCAAAATCCTGACATTTAAGCTCCTGACACCAAATTCTGACATAAAAATCTTGACACTACAAAAATTCTTAACAGTACTACTGTTAGAATATTGGATTTTGATGTCAGGATTTTAGTAATATCAGTTGGAATTTGGCTGTTAGAATTTAGGCTATTAGGATTCTGAGGTAAAACCAATCATATTTTATTGAGATGTACAGTACAAAATAAATATGCAGCAGCATAAAAGACCCACTTTGTGTATTCATATTGGAAATTATCATTTTTCTGTTTACTCTAAATATTGCATCTTTTTTCAAGTACTGTTATATTAATTTCAACTTGATGCAAGTTCTTTATAGAATTTACAAAGCAAGTTAATATTGATTTTGCTTTTTTTCTAATTTAAATATATACGCAATAACTTTGAAAATTTATTAGCGGAGCTCCAGAATCAACTGATCCTCTTTTCCTAGTCTATAACGAACCTTATTTTTTAAATTCAATTCTTTAATTTGAAGTTCTGAACATTTAAATAGATTCTAAATCTACTTAAAATGCCACATAATTTCAAGTCCACTTATATCAATACTTTGTCTGCATGAATTGATCTTTTAATATTATGAGATAAAAAATCAACCTTCAGCACAGTTTATAGCACTATAAATCTTTCGAAAAGCTATTAATAAATGTTATGACCGTTGGTTAGTTCTTGTACAATGTGTATTTGATTCTATCCAAGAATATCTTTAGGGTGTTATTAATACGTCTTTTTATCCACGTAATTTGTTTTGATATAACCTTGCACACCTTTAATAAGCCGTCAAATGATGTGGACAAAATTCGTACAGTCATATGAAAATGATCTGGCACAGTTCAAAAGCAAGATCCTAAACAAAGGATTGTTATCGAGTTATTCTTTTAAAGCAATTATTTTCTCAGTGATTCACTACAATTCGTACTTATCCTTCCCATCCTCATTAACATCTTGAGTTCACAAGAGCATCTCGACAAAATTAGAATTCATAATTATAAGTACTGTACGTACCATCTTGTGAGATGCCGCGTGCATCTATGTGCCCCCAAACCAGTTTGGAAGCCGGTTCCCTAGCCAATCAGCATCAGATATGTAGATGCTACACGAACGATCAGTGTG